GTCGGTTATAATCCGTTACCCATGAATACGTGGCATGCCAACTAGACAATAAAAAGTATTCTCGGACGTGCCATGTTGTAATCCCACATTCCTCATTTTTCTCCCATCTTTCCTCTTCCTTCCCACTCCACGATTTGGGGGCAAAATCCCTAGAAGTTTCGGTTTGTTTCTTTTCTGTGCAGGGTCTTCTTCTTCGCCCAATAGTAGCCCACCCCATCCCTACAACTTCTCTGCCCAATGGCCGGCCTCTTTCCATGCAAGTTCTTCTTCTTCTACACCCAACAGCTGACCTTTCTCCATGCAAGATCTGCTTCTTCTTCTTTGCCAAGCAGTCGATCTTTCTCCACACAAGATCTGCTTCTGCTTCTTCACCGAGCAGCCGACTTTTCTCCACGCAAGTTCTACTTCTTCTTCTTCGCCAAGTAGCCGGCCTCTCTCCGTGCGAGTTCTTCTTGTTCTCCGCCCAACAGCCGACCTTTCTCCATCATGATCTGTTTCTTCTTCTTCGCCGAGTAGTCGGATCTTCTTCTTCTCTTGTTTGGTGCTATTGATTTCCTATTAGCCTTTCTTTGCCGCTAACACCAGCCCATCCAACGGTCAATCACTAGTCTCATAATATTAAAAAATTATGATAGTTATCAAATATTAATTATTAACTATTAATTATATTTAAACAATTAATTCAAATACTCTTAGTCAATAATTTTAGCTAACCTGCAAGTGAAAGTTGCCCTACCGCAGCTTCCCTCATGGCTAAAAGGCAAAGGAAGTTTAGAAAAGATCAAACAAAGAAGGAAATTGAACTTGAAATACTGTTGTGATGAGCGAGAAGGATTTATATTCATATATGGGTATGGCGGGCTTCTATCCCTGTCAAGAATGCAGAGCAGAGCAACTGGTTTGGCCCACAACTAATTTAAAAAGTAAATTTGTCTTGAGAAAATTTGGATGTGTGTGTGTGTGTTTTTTTAATATTATTTTAAAAAATTAATTTTAAAACTTGAGTATATTGTTTTAAAATTAATTTTATAATTTATGTTATCTTAAAATCATATACTCTTTTGATCCACATGTGCGTGTGTCTGGAGTAAATTTATTTTATCTCCAGTCGGCATGCCACATGCTGAGGGCTGTAACGGATCATAACGGGCGTCATGTTAGACTTAAGGGATGGTTGGGATTCCATCCAATTGGGTCCTTATTTGAGACTTTGCATGAGTTTGAGACCTTGATTGAGTATATTAAACGTTGAGGACCTCAATTAAGAATTTAGTAAAAATTGGGGTCCTTTTCTAATACTTAAGCCTATTTTAATTTACTCTTTACAAGCTAGAATTCACCAGTAGGGTCAGTAGGGTATTGATGTACATGTTGATTTATAATTAATTTTTTGTCTTTTAAAACAAGTGAGGCGGGATAATTTTAGGGCATTCACCTTTTTGGTGTCAACGAAAGGGGTTTGCTTTCCACCAACTGCACATCTTCGTCTAATCTTATCCAGAACACCATCCAACTTCTTATATATCTAATTCAATGCAAATATGCATAATCATTTTATTTTAATCATTGTCCCCGCACATAAATATCTGTAATTTAGTTTGCAAAATTCTCCACACTTATATCTCCACTTGTGTAATACCCCGAAATTTCTAGAATATTAAAGTTGAGTTGGGGACTTATTTGAGGAAAAATATTATTGAGGAGCTTAATAGCAAAATTTTCAAAAGTTGAGGGACTAAAAAAAATTAGGATAAGGATCAATTGCTTTTCTTTTTTTTCTTTTTTTTTTCTTTCTTTCTTTCCTTCCTCATCAGACCCGCGTGCCCTGCTCTTCCTCTCCCCCGACCCTCTGCAACCCGACGAGCCCCCCGTTACCGCCACCCATTTCCGGCCGGGAACACCGGCAAAGCTTGGGGATTTCTCCCTATTTTCTTGTTCTTGAACCCAGAAATTCCCCCCCTCTCTGCTGGAAATTCCAGATCTGCTCTGCTCTGTCTTCCCTGCCGGCTGCTCTTGCTTGTGGGTGTGATTTTCGGTCTTTCTTGGTAAGAAGCAGCATAAATTCTCTCTTTAGCTTTGAATTGCCTTGGGTTTACCTTAATTGCTCTCGGTTCCTTCAATTTTTGCAAGCCCTGTGAATTGCCCCTGCAGATTGCCGCTAGCTTCTCCCCCCTGCTAGGCCCGGTTCTGCAGCTGCTAAATTCTGGTATTGTAATTGCACCAAACCAGAAGTCCTTCTCAGTCCGCAATTGCACTTCGGGATGACCTGCAAAGCCCCGAGGTGGAACTCGGGGTAGACACTCCGATGCTTAAGTCAGCAATAATCGGGGCTACCTTTAGGGCGGAGATAAGAAAAGCTTAAAGTTGGTTTCAATTACCTTTTTGACGTGGCCCGGGGGGGTATTTATAGGATCCAGTGAGGAACCCACGTGGCATGCCAAGCAAGATAATCGGAGCCTGACGTGTTCATCCAGACGATTATTCTGGGACCGGGAATTTGAGAGGTATCCAGATGCACAAGCGTCCACCATACTTGCTGTGCGACTCATCATAAGGAATCAGGTGC